GACTAGGTGGCCGGCGCACACATGTACACTGGCCAGCTGGTCTCCGAATTTCCTGGGCTCTGGCCCACACGCATTCCGGTTTGGACACAATAGGTTTGCCATCAGTGGTCTAGGTGGAACATAACAAAATGGAGTGGATATTAAGGGGCCCTGAATTGAAAAAAGATGTGCATGGCTTAAAAAATTGGAGCAAGAAACATCAGTAAATGGTGCTATGCTAAAAATACTACCCATTTAGCTGAAAATACAAATGCAAAGATAATAATGAAAGTCAAAGAGCAGAGTGAAAATGTGGTAGTAAGACAACCAAACTATAAAGACAACCAAATTTATGACAACAGGAACAGTAATCAGACTTTGAACTGAAAATGAAAATATTGAAATGGTAGGCAGCTTCTCCCTTTCTAAGAGCAATTATCAATTGTAAAGGAACAAGCAGTGAAGAAATATACCAGAGACTAGCACTTTGTAGAATAGCAATTAAGAATCTCTTGAAAAAGATATTCAGATGCTGGGATGTGTCTGCACCAGGGTGGGTTCTAAAATTTTTTACTACTGGTTCTGTGGGCATGGCTTATTTTGTGGGCGTGGCTTGGGGGGTAATGTGATTGGGTGGGCATGGCCAACTTTTTTTTTTACTTTTAAAAGCATTTTTTCTACAACCTTAAGAGGTTGCAGAAAAAAATGCTTTTAGAAGCCTCTGACGATCAGGCAACTCAGCTTGGGATCGCCAGAGGCTTTTAAAGGCATTTTTTTTCCTACAACCTCTTCAGCCGAAGAGGTTGTAGAAAAAATGCTTTTAAAAGTTAAAAAAAAAAGCCTCTGATGAGGTGGGCGGGGTAAGTGAGCGGCGACCGGGCCGGGGACCGGTTCGGGGGCGTGGCCAGCCAATGTTATTACCGGTTCTCCGAACTACTACAAAGTTTTACTACCGGTTCTTGCAAACCGGTGCAAACTAGGAGCAACCCACCTCTGGTCTGCACCTATGAAGATCAGAACTGTGGAGGAACTGGTTTTCCTTATGACTCTCTATGGAAGTGAATATTAAAGAAACAGGGCATAAAAAGTATTAATGTTTTTGAATATTGATGATGTAAAAGAATATCATAGATAATCAATAAAACAAATTCATGGATAACTGAACAAATATAGTACTTACTTAAGGCACAAATACCTGGTTGAATTTATAAAATTTTAGACACATTATGCAAAGACCTAATTTTTTTCTGAAATCTATAATGCTAAGAAGATGGAAGGAAAGAGGGGTAGAAAGGATAACCCATAGCAAGATGAATGGATTTCATTACAGAAGTGATTTGCACACAGTTAGGAGACGTGACAGGCCAGGGTAGGGCCTGATCATCCTAGAGAATCTATGTAGTTGCTAAGATTCAACATCAACTTGATGGCACATAATAAATCAAAAGTAGTTATTCCTCAGTTTATAATTTTAGTCTATACATCCCCATGCTTGAAAGTTAATTCTGTTACTTTAACACATATGTACACTCTTCCCTCCAACCCAAGTACATATATATATACATATATACATATATACATACATATATATATATATACACACACACATATATATATACACATATATACATATATACATATATGTCTTCTTAAGTTTTCGCGGGTGTGTGTATGAAAAAAGTTAAAATCTCGGGTGTTTTCCCGCGTCATTATAAGTTTGTTACTTAAAATGTTTAAAATCCTGGCTAAGATCACAGTCTGCTTCATGTTTGGATTGGATTGGAAGGGTTTAAGGTGGCTAATGATGCAGCTGCATCATTAGCCCTTCCAATCCATACATGAAGCAGACTGACACCCACCATGAAGATGTGGCAGGACCACGAATGCGAAGCCAAACAGCAGCAACGCAGCTCACCAGCTCAAATCCCTCTGCAACTCAGACTAACTCGAGCACAACCAAGCCCTCACCCAAACAGAACACACCCGCATCCAATCAGAGCACAGCCAACCCCCCATCCAATCAGAACACACTTCCACCCAATCAGAACACACCTCCACCCAATCAGAACACAGCCAAGCTCCCACCCAATCAGTTCACACCCCCACTAGCAGTTAAAAGGAAGAAACAGCTGCGATCACACATTGCTCCTAGAAGCACCAAGCCGAAAACACCAGCCTGAAGATGATGAGACTTCGTCGAAACATCGCCAAGACACTTCCAATTTTACGTGGGAGAAAACCCGAATAACCAAAGACCTACATACAAACACCCGCGAAAACCTCAGAAAACAAATATACATATATACATATATACACATACAGACATACATATATGCATTTTTTTCTTCAGTCCTTTCTCAAGGAGCTTATAGTTACAAACATGGACTAAACAGAGATTATGGGACATCTCCATGCAGGAGCTAAATAAACAAAATTAAATTATCCATTTTAAAGATTTTTGGCATCAGTTTCAAATGACCATAATAAATACCAATTTGCTTTTATTAAGACTAGATTAAATATCCTATCACCACATATGTTGGAATATAGATTTGAAAGGATTTTTATCCTACAAAGATTTAATTCTTTCAATATCAAAATTGGATCAATGGATTTCATTTCTAATACTCTATAATTTTTATGTAATAGTTCACAAGTATTTAATCTGGTTTATTTTAAAAATGTACCAAACAGATTTAATTTCAAATATAAATTTTTGCCATCTGATATACAAACGTGGTTCTTGTGCTGGTCAAACTTCTAGTGGTAGCTTCTGAAAGCAGCTAATGAATTAAATAGGAATAATGGAATTATTCTGGACACATAGTTAATAGTTAACCAATGCTAAATGTTTTCCTTAATGTAACATAACCAGTCTAGTGTAATAGGTTCTGCAATATCTATATTCCATTTCATGTTTACTTTAACTGTAATAGATTTACAGTATATAGAAAAATAAACTCCATCTAATTTTTCACATTCTCTCCAAGCTTATTCACGCAGACACCTACCTCATGAACTTTATAAGTAGATTAGATTCTAAGGATGAAATATAACATTCTGGCAGTGTATCATCCCTCATCCTGTTGAATGTGATATTTTTTACTAAATAAGTCATGAAATATTTTATGTCTTCCATCTGAAAGACATCATATAACTTATCCAAATACTACTTGATGCTGCCATCCAAAAAAACTCCTCCTTACTTTGACAATACTATGGAAATGAATTAGTAATATGAAAAGCAACATCAGTTTGTCAGATATATACAAGCAGATTACGGAGCCTATGCTAACACCCTATAAAACTTTCTTATACTGTGTTTCAAAAAGCTATAATGTACAACAGTTTTCTCCAATCTTGGGCAACTTTTATGTATGTAGATATCAACTTCATAATTCCCAGCGGTGGCCAGGTTACCAGGGGAATTCTGGGAGTAAAATGCCCAGGTCTGATGTAGAGCAACAAGGACTATTCCAAATTAGAAGACTTCAAGTCAAGCCAATGATATTCCTCAGGGCAAATGCTTTTATGCTCTTTGAGTAAACTATTTTGCAAATAGTCCAACATAATCTATCAAAATTGGCTATTTTAACAAACCATTGGCTTCCAATCACTGTTCTGAATCATTGCATTTGAATCATTTAGCAGTTAATGTATTGTCATCAATATATTTAGAATGATCACCTACTGCATTATCTAGCTGTCTGATATATGAAAAGCTATTTTAAAGTTACCAGATCCACTAAGAGCTCCAGCTGATCTATTTTAACAATTATACAAATGTCTACAAACATTTAGAAGAGCAGCTCTGGTTTAGCTCAGTTTTTTCAAATCATTTCTCATAAAAATGGTAAAATATCAGCCGACAATGGACTGCAGATAAACCACATAATCACATAAATCTTTCTGCATAGACTCTGCACCTTATTTCCCTACACAGAGAAAAGATACACTGGAAACAGTCTCCTTTTTTAAAAAAATTGATCACAAAATACAAAAAATGTCGTATTTATTTTGTATATAGGTAAACATTAACTTAAGGAACACATGCAGTAATTTGCAGTTTCTGACATGAATGTGCTGTTTGTGTAAAATGAATAAATTGTCAACACATTACTGATGGTACATCGTATACATTTAGACTTCTGGAATCCAAAATATGTCTATATGAACAGCAAAGTTAGTTCTATCCAGTCGGGGGCTGCTGCCGGTTGTAACAATCAGTTCGCTCAGAACAGAAAATGTGAGCACGCATAGCATCAAAAAACCGGCAATTATATAGGACAGTGATAGTTAACCTTTTTGGTGCCAAGTGCCCAAAGCACGCGAATGCACGCATGAATGTGCACATGCGTGCTGAAACCCCAAAATGCAATGTGAGAACACCCTGCACATGTGCCACGCCCCCTGAACATGCGCCATGCCCCTGTACATGCATTTGCATCCCTGCACATGCACCACGCCCCCCCCGCCCATTTTTGGCTTCCAGGTTGGTGCAGGAGGCTTTCCAGGTCCAAAACGGGGCGCAGGGGGACCTCGTGCATCCCCACATGCACCGTTTTGGTTTCCAGGTTGGTGCAGGCGGCCTTCCAGGCCCAAAATTGGGTGTGGGGGAGGAACTTGCATGCGCACGAAAATGCAATGCAAGTGTCCCACCCCCACACATGCACGCATGTGTCCCCTGTATGCGCCCCACCCTCCATGTATGCACAGCAGAGACCCAAAGACCAGCTGGCTGGCGGGAGACACGCGCACATGCGCATTGGAGCTGGGCTGGTGTGCCTGCAGAGGAGGCTCTGCGTTCCACCTTTGGCACGTGTGCCATAGGTTCGCCATCATGGATATAGGACATGATAGCGCCAGGGTGGGTGGGCAGGGCCAGCCGCTGGTCGGAACTACCGGTTCGCCTGAACCAGTCCGAACTGGCAGCAGCCCACCACTGGTTCTATCTATTAAACACACTTAAAGGAAACAGGAGACATAGGAAATGAATTGTGAGGTGAGAGATTCAGACATACCAGGTAATATTCGGCCGATGAGTGCATCTAATAACCAAAATGATTCCTCCTCATTCCTTGTAATAAGAATCAAGTATCCAGCTATGAAATTCATGCCCTGAAATAAATATGCATTTCCTATTTATTTCATGTCAAAAGATGGAGTCAAAATAATGAAATAAAGAGAAAAAAGCAAATCATTTTTTATTTCCATTTTTAATGTCACACTTAAAAATCTTTCATTAGTTAAGCAGTACAGGAATTCTTTCTACTTTCTTCCTCTCACATATCCAACAGAAGCACCTTGGGGAGGGGGGAGGGCGGGAGGATTACAAGGGTTTGATGGAAAGTAGATTATGAGGTGGCTAATCTGATATAACGAGAAAGGAAACACATCTCTTTGAGAACAGGGGCAATTTAAAAAAACGGCTCTGCTATCAGTATAAAATTTGTCTTTTCTCTATTATGAGCTTATAGACTGGTGACTATGCCAATATTTATTTATTTATTGTCATATTTATATGCCGTCCTTCTCCCGAAGGACTCGGGATGGCTCACAAAATAAGCAATCCAACAATAAATAGAATTAAAATGGTACAATCCAATTTAAAACCCCAAATCCCCAGATTAAAATACACGGCAGATCAGGGAATTTGCTGAAAAAAGCCATGTCTTTAGGTCGGCGCAGAAGGTGTATAGATAGTTTCTATATACTTATGCATTTTTACAAGTCAAAAATTACTTACTTATATAGTTTTATAGCCGAATGCTGTTTTGAAATGTATAGTATACCGGGGACATAATAATAATGTTAGAAAGAAATGTTTAGCACATAGGGGGTGGTGTAAAAGGGTGGTAAAGTATTATATAATGTGATATTAATTTGGATTTCATCTTGCAGAAGCCATGGGGGGAGGGGAGGGGGAGGGGGGTTGGGGGGGGAAAGGGGGGGAAATCTGTATTTGAAAAACTTTTTCAATAAAAAAAATTACTTTGCAACGAAGTTGAATAATGCTGTAACTTTTTAAAGTATTAAATGTCTGAGCTGTACGTTTTAAAATATTCAGGAAGAGTAGTATCACTTGCATTCATTTAGATTTAACCTTTAACGCATCTCCAGTTTCTCATTGTCTTTTTAATTCTCCTAGCTTTTATTTCACTAATTGTTCTTGATCTTTCCATTCAATTCTAAAGCAGAAAGATTATACTTTTCAAAATTTAATTTTATAAACAATGCCAGCTTAAATTCAATCAAGACAAAAAAAAAATGGCAATATTATTTTATGGAACATTTCAGGTCATTCAAACAGAATCAGCTGTTCTCCTAAGTTTCCAAGTTTCTTGATAATCATCTGTTGATATGACATTGGCTTTCTTCAAACAGTGCCTCCCTTCCCCCCCATCTCTTCTTTCTAATCTATGAAAAGCCAACAGCCAGTATAAAAAGTGTTCCAGTTGTGCTGCTAGTTTGCTTGACAATAGCAACCATGGTGACTATTTGGCATTTGGCTGCAGGAACTACTAAAGTCTACCCCTCAGAGGGTGTTTGAAGAGCAAGTGCATTTATTAACCATGCACGCCAGTACAAAACTCTTAGTACTGTTGCAGAAAACAGCAAACCAAGCTTGTCCAATTCTTTTAAAGGAATGCTCACTGCAAGATTCCCTGAAATAGGTTAGCTTTCAGTCACATTAACATTTCTGTACTGGGAACTAATTAAAAATTCCCTAAATGTAATCTAAATCTTAAATTACACAGAATCACATACACTCTATTGCTTCTGAAAAGTCTATGTACTTGGAACAATCGGCTACCTGCAAAGTACAACATATTTTATCCAGTTGAAAAAGCTTCAACTTCTCTAAAGCACATAATTGTCAGAATTCCTCTAACTGATGCACTGATTTGCCAAATATTTTGGAAAATAGTGGATCTATTTTGAAGAATATAGTAACAGTGTGTTCCAAAGCTAAAGTCACCATCTACTGAAATTATATGATGGTAAAATGAATTCATGATGGTTATTCTAGGAGGGATAGTAGTTTTCTGTTAACAAACCTAATTTGGACTACCAGACCAGCTCACCTGGACAGTATGGCTTTAAGACAAATCCTTTCCTCTTATGAACACTCTTTTTTTTCATATTTTCTGCCTTTCCTTTGAGGAAAGTGCAAGGCAATCAAGCATTGTCAGTCATTCATGCAAGTATTCCATTTAAAATAGCTGTCAGCACTTTCTTAAGGGGGGAACATACAGGCCAACTAGTTACTTGGTGGGGAGAATTGCCTTCCTGTTGCATCCTAAACAGAGAAAATGTTTCATGCACAGAAAGTTGGTTCTCTACCTCAATTGGTTTTGTTAAGCCTCTACTGCAGGAGAGAACACAGATTGCCTCTCATATCCTCCTTCAGGGAAAATGCATGTTAATAGTGGGGCATTTTGGAAAAGAGGAAGACATTATTCCATTAAGCTTCACCAATGAGAGAAGTATGGTTCACCTGGGCAGGTGGAGAACCTAGATCTATCTTTTGCTTTACTGGTTTCTGTCAGATGAACTGATATTCCAACTGACAATACTGGCTAGGAATTTTGGTTATCATAGCCCCAACTTACATGACTATGCTAAAGGGACGTCAACTGGGAAAGGCTGCTCTAAAACTATTTTTAGCCAGATTCTTTTCTACTGTATCAACAAGGAAGCAACTCTATTGGTACAAGGAACGTATGTATATAAAGTCATATTAGTCATGTGACTAGTCCCATTCAACGGACTTACAATCATCAAATGGTACAGCACAGGTCTCCTATGCTCCGCTCAATAATATTTATAAGCTCTTAAAATCCTTTTGATTGATTAACCCCAGTGGAAGAGTCCTGTTTGTGGAATCTGAATTTTTAGAGAAGAAATAGGGATTTACTTGCTACACCAAAATGATGATTCCTAATCTAAGATGCTGTTCAAATGCTGAGACCCATGACACCATTCATGCATTCATATTCTGCATTTATTGTTTTCACAAATAAATCAAGGTGGCAAACATATCCAACACACCTTCCATCTCCTATTTTCTCCACAACAACCTTGTGAGGTGAGTTGGGCTGAAAGTTACTGGCACAAGGTCATCCAGCTGGATTTCATAGCTAGGATAGGACTTGAACTCACAGTTTCTTGCTTTCTAGCCTGGTGCCTTAACATTATACCAAACTGGCTCTCATCCTAAAAGGTTTTGGATTAAACTTAAAGTCTAGTTTGCAATCTTGATGTGATAATATGCATTCCTTTGAAATCTGTCAAATATATTTAATTATAATATGCTTGATCTGGTTTGTCTTAGCACATTATACACTCAATATTTGTGGGTTAGTCAATCGTGGTTTATTACTTAGGACAGAGTATGAACTTAACCAATAAGACTTGTTCCAAGTGATTGGAGTTTAACTCAAATATGATCAAAAGTGGTAGAAAATAGGAGACAAAACTTAGAATACATTCTTAATGACATGCTGACAGTGCCCTTCTTCTTTGCACATTCCCACTTGTCCGCTATCCCTTGTAACTGGTAGAGAGAGAGTTTATAGGTCTTGAGACATATGTGGCACAGTACATCTTCTTAAACCCAGTTCCAGTGCTGGGTAGGCAGTTCTCAATCTCAAATGTGACTCCAAAGAGGTTGGAAAACAACTAGACTGCATGTCTTAAGCCAGGGATCAGCAACCTGTGGCTCTGGAGCCACATGTGGCTCTTTCACCCCTCTGCTACGGCTCCCTGTCACTCAAAATATGCGTCAAACTCCTGTCTTAAGCTATTGAAATATAAGTAGAATTCAAGACACTACAGGAATAAAATTTAATGACATGAAGTTCATTTGCTATTATTTTCTACCTCAAAAATAACATATTTTTTATGCATACCTGGCAATATCCCACAGATGGATTATGGTGCCCATATGCTACTAATACATTGTAGAGTGTTTTCTGTAAACAGGGAACAGCAGTTTTGCGGAATTTTATATTATCTGGAAATGTCCTATTTATGTCTATGAAAAAGGAAACATGTTAAAAATTAATCCATGGAACCAAGTTTTGGGAACTTTGTTTATGATTAAACAAATGATAAGACAGATAATATTTTGCTCAAAAGTAAAAACCTACATCAAACATTTTAGAAAAATTCTAGTTGGCTTTGTTTTTCTTTTATCCTACAAAATCCATCAATTCTCGCCAAACTGCACTTCTAGATGCATCCTAATGAATAATTCTTGAATGCAATTTAACTTCAAATAAGAAAAAAGAATCATAGAATTATATTATAAAAATATACGTTTCTCTCTCTTTTTTTTTTTTGCAGTTTAATTACATTTACTGCTGCACCTTAAATACCAAAACCAGCTAAAAAAATATACATGAAATTAAAGGACTGAGAAACCTGCCTCTGTTAAACTAATATGTTTCTGTGTCAAAGTCATTTAAAAATAATTTCCAATAAATTCAATAAAATTTACTTGTTTGCAATCACTCTAGCTTTAAGAAATGTATCAATCCTAAGAACTAAGAACTGAAGGGATAAAGGGACAGCTAAAATATAATTAATTTTGGCTCAAGTATCAAGAATTTTCCATCATGCTCTTCTTCCTCCTTTCCGCATTTCTGGGCATGCCAATTCTTCAAGTAAAATAGTTTTGCTTTGATTGTGACCAAATCTGAGTCCCATTTAGTATTCTAATTCTCCCTTTAATAAAGACATGAAAACTTAAATTAGCAGGCACTGAAACTATCCAGAGCACCTGCAGGTTAGAGTAGGTATAGGAAGCAGTGGTGCTTGTAGAGACATTTAAACAGTTGTATGTTACTACATACTTATGCAATGTTAGGGTTAGGATTTTACTTAGAACAGCCACAAAGCACTATAGAGGCAGTCCTTGACTTTTCACTTAGCGACTGTTCAAAGTTACAATGGCACTGAAAAAAGTGATTTATGAACAATTCTCACATTTACGAGTGTTGCAGCATCCCCATAGTAATTACATAGTCATGTAATTAAAATTTGGGGACTTGGTAACTGGCATGTATGTATGATGGCTGCCACATCCTGGGGTCCTGGGATTGTCATTTGCAACCTTCTTAGGGAGCATGGAAGAAGCCAAAGTCGCTTATAATTCACTGAACAACTATAGTGATTCACTTAATAACGGTGACAAAAAAGGTTGTAAAATGGGGCATGACTCACTTAACAACTACCTTGCTTAGCAACAGACATTTTGGGCTCAAATGCGGTCCTAAGTCAAGGACTACCTGTAAATGGCTATATGAATAGTGTTCTACACTATTTTTTCTCTGGAGCAACCCAGCATGGTCTATACTGTTGGATAAGGAGTTATTCTGTTGGAGAAGATTGCAAATAAAACATTATATTATTGCTGTAAAAGTTAGGTACAGATAGTCCTCAACTTATGACTGGTCATTTAGCAAGCATTTAAAGCTATCATGGACCTAAACAAGGAACTTACAACCTGGATTCTAAATTATAATGGGTATACACACACACACACACACACACACACACACGTAATCGGCAACTAACCCACATTTGTGGCCATTTGCAGCATCCCAAGTCATAAAACTGCAATTTATAATATTTTCTGCCAGAAGTCGGCATTTACTTCTCATTTCTGGCAAAAAAAAAAAAACTACTCATTTGGGACAATAGTTTTTTTAACAGCTGCAGATTTCCTTAATGACCGTTGAAAAAAGTCATAAAATCAGATCAGTCACACAATGACCTCTTAATGACTTGCACAACTTATGGTTGTAATTCCAGACTCAATTATGGTCACAAGTCAAAGTCAAGGGCTACCTGTGTCCCTATAAATACATAAACCCAAACCAAAGTAAAATTCAGGTAGTTCTCGATTTACGACCTCAATTGAGCCCAAAATTTCTGTTGCTAAGTGTTTGATTCGTAAACTGTGCGTGGATATCGACTGAGGCGAGACTAACTCAACACAACTGATTTAATGTTAACAACACAAGTAACCAGAACGCTTCAGAAAAACGTTTACAACAGAGCCGCTATTTATATACCGGCTGTCACACAGGTCTAGCCAATAACAAACGCCTGTGCTTCCCGCCAAGAGAGCTGTCATCTTAGTAGACAATCAGAAACGCCCCCTGGTTGCTGGCGGCAACGGGGTAGAGGACGCTACACTCCTTCCCCCTCGGATGGCGCACGCGTAGTCAGACAAGTATGCTGGGCGCCTGCATATTCTGTTGGAACGCCGCAGTTCCGGAGTGGATGGTTCGATGTGTGGCGGGATTGATGTTGCCAGCCCTGGCTTCCCAGTTTCCTTAGGCATTGGTGGCCTGGCCTCGCTCGGAGACTCCAGCGGTGGACGAATGACTGGATCCACAGGTACATCAGCCGATGAGGCTGCCAGAGAGGAGGGAGTGCGGGCCATTGCTCCGGCTTGGAAGTTGTTTTCAGACTCCGCCACCACAATTAGTCTAGGTTCTGACCCGACTGGGGCTGGAGGGGAAACAAACAGTCGCCCCCAGATCTGATCAATATGTCAGCGCCAGCTTCGACCATCCTCGAGCAAGATCCTATAAGAACAGGGCCCTGTTATTTTTGAAATTTGACCTGGCAGCCAGCAAGGCTCCCCCCCCATAATTTCGGGCATACACTTGGTTCCCAAGGTTAAAGGTCCTGACCCTACTGGTAGAGGCCAAGGGGGTATCTGTTGCATAGTTTGGGTGTAGCCTGTCCAGGGTTGTTCTGTGGCGATGGCCCATGAGAAGTTCAGCCAGACTGCGGTTGGTTGTTGGACAGGGAGTGGTGTGTTGTGCCAGGAGATATTTTGTGATCTTCTCCCTCCAGTTGGCTGATCCCACTCTGGACAGGACGTCCTTGGCTGATCTAATTGCCGTCTCAGCCCATCCATTGCTTGCTGGATGAAACGGGGCTACTGGGGCATGGCGGATGCCCAGTTCAGCCAGGAACACCTGGAAAACTGCAGAGGGAATTGTGGGCCGTTGTCTGAAACATCAAGTCAGGCAGGCCATGGGTAGCAAACCATATGCAAAGGACCCGGATTACAGCCTCTGATGTGGTGGAGGACATGTGAGCTAACTCTACCCACTTAGAATAAGTGTCAACAGCTATTAATATGGTCTGTCCCTGGAATGGCCCTGCCAGGTCGATATGTAGGCGAGACCAAGGGCTCCTAGGAGTTTCCCACTCCCTGGAGGGGGCTTCCGGGGGAGCCGGGCGGGATTGTTGGCAGCTCTGGCATCCTCCCACCCACTGAGCTATGGACTTGTCCAGGTTTGGCCACCAGACATAGCTGCGACCCAGGGCCTTCATGCGGGCAATACCCGGGTGTCCTTCATGAAGGCTGCGTAATATGGGCATTTGCAAGGGGGGGAGGAACCACTACCCTGCATCCCCAAAGAAGGCACCCCCTCAACACAGACAACTCATGCTGTCTCTTCTCAAAACGCTGGAATTCCTCGGGGATGTGTCCTCTAGGCCATCCCCGCCACACCCAGTCTAAGACTCGGGCTATCTTGGGGTCTTTCTGCGATGCTTTGGCATGTCCAATGTGGTAACAGGAACCTCCCATTCGTCCACTAAGAAAACAGGTGCACCTGGGGCTGGGTCAGATACTGGCAAGGGCAAGGGACAGCGGCTGAGGCCGTCGGCATTCCCTAGGGCAGTGGTTCTCAACCTGTGGGTCGGGACCCCTTTGGGGGTTGAACAACCCTTTCACAGGGGTCGCCTAAGACCATCCGAAAACACATATTTTCAATGGTCAATGGAATAATTTTATGGTTGGGGGTCACCACAACATGAGGAACTGTATTAAAGGGTCGCGGCATTAGGAAGGTTGAGACCCACTGCCCTAGGGCCTTCCCATGGCGGTGTATAAGTTGGTAATTATAGGCGGGCAAAAACACTGATCAGCGAGACAGGTGGGGGGGCATGATTTGGGGGGTCTGTCTGTCTCCAGACAGCAACCCTAGAAGGGGCTTGTGATCAGTGAAAAGCTGGAAGAAACGGCCATATAAATAATCATGGAACTTTTTGACTGCTGACACGATAGCCAAGGCCTCTTTATCTAGCTGGCTATAATTGCATTCAGCAGGGAACAGAGTCCTAGAAAAGTAAGCTATGGGAGCCTCAATCCCATTTGGCAGTGAGTGGCTCAGAACTGCGCCAACGCCATAGGGAGAGGCATCACACACTAGTGCAAGGGGAAGATGGTCAGAGTACTGGACAAGTACTGCATATGAAGTAAGGAGGTCCTTAACAGCAGTAAAGGTGGATGCCTGCGCTTTTCCCCAACACCAGGGTGTCTTGCTGTCCAGCAACCTGTGGAGGGGCTCAGCGACAGAAGCCTTGTGAGGCAGGAAAACACTGTAAAAATTAAGGAGGCCTAGCAATGATTGTAGCTCTGCCTTGCATGTGGGAGTTGGGGCCTTCTTAATGGCCTCTACTTTAGAAGGTGTGGGGTGCAGACCAACTGCATCAATTAAAAACCCCAAGAATTCAACGCTGGGAACACCAAATTTGCATTTTGATTTTTTAAGTTTGAGGCCTGTCTGCCTAAAACGGGTGAGGACGAGACGCAATTGGTGGAGCAATTGGGCCTCGCTAGTTGCAGAAACCAAATCATCATCAAAATAAGGGATGACACCAGGTATACCATGCAACAAATGCTCCATGAGCTCTGGAATAACCCAGGGGCCACGCTAATTCCGAATTGGAGGCAGCAACACTTAAAAGCCCCTCTGTGGGTGACGATCGTTTGGGCAGCCACAGTGGCATCATCCACAGGCAGTTGCTGGTAGGCCTGGGCCATATCCAGCTTAGCGAACATGGTGCCCCGACCCAGGGAATGTAGGAGGTGTTGGACCACAGGAACTGGATAGGGGTGCGCTTGCAAGGCCCAATTGAAGGTGCATTTAAAATCCCCACAGATGCTAATAGACCCATTGGGTTTGATTGGTATGACAATGGGGGTCTCCCACAGGGAGTGGTCTATGGGTTCCAGAACCCCTTGAGCTACTAACTTATCCAGTTCCTGGTCTACCTTTGGGCAGAGGGCAAATGGCACCCGCCTGGGCTTGAGTCGAATAGGGGCCACTTGTGGGTCAAGACTAAGGGAAATAGGGGACCCTGTGTATTTACCTAAGGTATCATCAAAAACCTCGGCAAAGTCGGTGGTCAGAGCTTCAAATCCATCTGTGGAGGTGGAGTGAATGCCAGAAACTGAGAGGCCTAAAGCCTCAAACCAGTCTAGCCCAAGTAAACTGGGAAGGTGACCCTTGACTATGATTAAGAGGAGGTGACCAGAAAAATTCCCCTTTTCTACCCAGAGGGTAGCCCGTCCCAAAACGGGGATGGCCTTCCCCTGATAATCACGAAGCCTGGTATAGCAGGCAGAAAGGTGACTTTTAGGTAGTGTAGGCAGTAGCTTGTGTAGGGTGGTCCAGGCAATGATAGACTTAGAAGAGCCCGTATCCACCTCCATTTGGCAGGGAACACCCTCTAGCCTAACTGTGAGGAAAATTCTTTTCCTGAAACCTGAGGAACCCTGAGTGGTCGACACTGCAGGGTGGGCATCGTCTCGAAAAATTGTGAAACAGTCCTCCCGGGGCCTGGCTGGACCCCACAGGGGTCTTCTAATGGAACGTTGGTCCGATGCAGATCAGGTGTCCGGTGCAGATGCGCGGCAGACTTTGGCAAGGTGGCCTTTTTTTCCCACAGCACCGGCAGATCACAGATTTAAAACGGCAAAGGGAACGGGGGTGGTTTTTGCCGCAACCCAGCGGCGGCGTCTTCTTCCCTGGTGCCCTCTTTCCCAGCAGGGATTTTAGGCGGCTCACTTCAGTTTCATCATTGGTGGTGCCATCGGACAATTCTTCATCATAGTGGACAGTAGCAGCGCGGCTAGGCGGAACTGCGGTATGTGCCCAGTGCATCTCAGCTGTCGATTTATTGGACATTTCCGATGCACAGCCTTCGTCGATAGCAATTTGAAGGGTAATGTCAGTTCGTGCTAAGAGATGCCATTGCAAACGGATGTCCCTTACACCACACACCAGCTGCTCCAACAGGGAGTCATCCAAATTGCGGAATTCACACTCAATCACTGTGGATCTGAGGGAAGCCACATACTGATTAATGGATTCACCCTCCCTTTGGAGGATTTGGCGGAAAGTGTACCGCCGGGAAATGCGAGAAGGAGCCGGCGCGTAATGAGCCCGTAGTTTGGCCAAAAGAACGTCCCAGGGCACCGTAGATACGAGCTGAGGTGCCATCAATGCCGGGGCAGTTGTGAATATTTCAAGGCCACAGGAATTTAAGAAATGGGCTCGTTTCCTGTCACTAGAGAGCCCAGTGTAATCATTTGCCTGGAGAAAGCATTCAAAACGCTCCATGTAGGCATCCCAGGATTCTGTGGCAGGCTCGAAATGAGCGAATGTGGCCGGGGTAGACATCGTAGCACGGCAGGGACAACGGTTGTGTACCTTGAGTCTCCTCAGTCGCCCAAAACCTCGTCACCAGTGTTTGATTCGTAAATTGTGCGTGGATATCGACTGAGGTGAGACTAACACAACACAACTGATTTAATGTTAACAACACAAGTAACCAGAACGCTTCAGAAAAATATTTACAACAGAGCCGCTATTTATATACCGGCTGTCAGACAGGTCTAGCCAGTAACAAAAGCCTGTGCTTCCCGCCAAGAGAGCTGTCATCTTAGTAGCCAATCAGAAACGCCCCCTGGTTGCTGGCGGCAATGGGGCAGAGGACGCTACACTAAGCAAAACATTTGTTAAGTGAATTTTGCCCCATTTTACAATCTTTCTTGCCACAGTTGTTAAATAAATCACTGCATTTGTTAAATTAGTAACAAATAAGTGAATCTGGCTTCCCCATTGACTTTGCTTGGGAGAAAGTCACAAAAATGGATCACCTGACCCTGGACACTGCAACCGTCATAAATATGAGTCAGCTGCCAAGCATCTCAATCTTGATCATATGACCATGGGGGTGCTGCAACGGTGGTGAGAAAAATTGTCATAAGTCACTTTTTTCAGTGCCATTTTAACTTTAAATGGTCACTAAATGGACTGTTGTAAGTCGAGAACTACCTGTAGTTCTTTTTCTTGCTTGTGAAACAGTTGGCACATTTCCAGAAAATTTATCTGTATCCCATAGGTTGCATGCGACTATTTACTTTCTAGACCATGACTTTCTGATAACTCAGTTTTTGCCTGTAGTTCTTGTCCTTGTATATTTTTAACATTTTCTCAGCCTTGTTAGCTTCAGCCGCTTCAACAAATATTTACTTCAATCACACTGTAAGATGCCAGATACAAAGGCTTTGGATAGTACTCTTAATTGTTTCTTGAGGATACTTGCTTTGTAAACAGAAAATATTTTTACATTACTACCATTGTATCAATTTGCTTATGTCAATTAACATTTATCACATTCAGAGAAAGATATTACCTTATAACTCTAGTTGCTTTTTTCTTTCCTATGAATTCCTCCAAATTAATCTATCAGGATAATTCCAAAAACACTACTTGTTTTTTTAAAAATGTAATTTAACTTCCAAGCTAAAGCAGCAACAACATAAATAGAGTAAAATATTTCAGCATTCAGTTTTAGTGTTCCACAACCTGATGACCTTCAGAGCTTAAAACTTCCATCAGCTGAACTGGGTCAGAGGCTGCAGTCCAAAATAGCCGTGGGCACAAGGTGGAGAAAGATTCACAATGCAAAGATATAAAGGCAGTTGCAGAAAAGGTTGTTCTAACAGTCTTGTTTAAAAACTTGTTTAAAGCAGTCTTCTCAAACATAGTGTTGTCTAGATGTGTTGGAATTTTACATTCTTCTACTGTGGATATTTTTAGAACTAAAATCCCAGCACAACTGTGAGACAGTTGGGAAAATCTAGTGTAGAACTGTTCAGTCATTATTTAGCTACCTCTAGGACTATCTCTCATATCTCTCATATCCCTACTAATAACTACTGTAATTTCAAAAAATTAAGTTGCAGCAAGTAAATGGAAGAGTTATCACAGAATTCTAAACTTGCAGGAACTAAAACTTATTATATTAGAATGAGTACTAGACTAACAGCAACATATCTGCCAATTTTTCTGACAGATAGCGAGAGACAAGGAAAAATAATTCAGTGATTCTTAAGATAATGTTTTAATTGACATAAAAAGCATTGCTTCTGTCCAAAACAATAATTATCTATTTTATGCACCTCCATAATTCAAGGGAAATGTGGACAACAAAATCCTAATACATACATAAACAAAATAATGTATAGAGAGATGTATTTTGAAGCTAACCTGTTATAATAGTTTCCACAAGTTTGCTGTTTTGGTCCCCTTCCAATAATTTCTGGTAGTAGCCTGGGTTGTGATCCATGTGAGACCTAGCACCACTCACCACCATCCAGACTTCAGCACGGTGCTCATTTGGAATGCCTTTTCTGATATAGCGTTTAACTGCAATAAATTAATTAAAACACATATTTAAACATGTAAAAGGATGCCATAATGAAACCCAACAATTAAAGCTATAAATAATTAAAATATATTAAACATATTAACAGTGGAGATACACGACCATCTTGCACTGTCATACGTCAAGGTGAATTCAATATTGTTTCATTCCAACATTACAATTTCATATTGTCCTTCAAGATGAGACATACCAATAACCACAGTAATTTTGGAGTCACCTCAGGCCTCTTGCACTAACTATAAGAAGCTGCCTAAAACCTGCCAGATGGAGAAGAGGATAAGCTTCCCATGAGACCAACTTGGAAAACAGAAAGGATTTTGGCCAGGCTATCATAGTGTCTTGTCTACAGAAGTTAATCAGCTCAAACTATCAAGTTCTGCCATCTCACCCTATGTTGTGAGTATACAGGCAGATTGCCAGTCTTTATCATAACATGCTTGTATGAAGAAGGAACTTCTTAACTGCTATGCTAGGTGTCCCAAGGAAAGAAAATATGTTCTATTACTCTGATTTGTTTTCCTATTTTTCTGCTTCTTAGAAGAACAGGGAACCTAATTTCCACTATAAATTAAAACTCTTTTTCAGAGGGTTCTCTGTTTAATGTTTGCTATTCAGAAAATCATAAGTCTTTTAATAATATTTTGAGACTCATTACAATTTACAGTCACTAAGACTATGTAATTATATGAATATACATACTTAAGGGAAGAACTTAAACAAGTAAATATGCTACAATCCCCGCTTATGCAGAGAGAATATGATTAATGGCTCAATTCATTCAATATAATACTAAATTGAATTTTTTAAATAATAGCTTGTTAAGTAAACCACCATGACTAGATTATATAAAGCTAAATGGGGAAAAAAAGAATGACTTAGGTCAGTGATGGCTAACCTTTTTGCCATCGCGTGCCAAAAGCGGGGGTAGTGGGGGGGATTGCACGTGTGCCCACATCCATAATTCAATGCCCCCCATCCCCCTACGCATGCACGCATGACCCCCCACTCTCCCCCCGGTTTTGGCACGCAATGGCACAGTGGGCCCGGTAGTCCCATTTTTTGCCCTCCCCAGGCTCCAGAACCTTTCTAGGAGCCTGGGGAAGGCAAAAATGGCTCCCCCCCCGCCCGGAGGCCCGGAAACAGCCCATTTCCTGACTTCCAGTGGGCCCGGAAGGCCCAAAAATCAGCTGGTCAGCGTGCACATGCGTGCTGGACTGAGGTAGGGCAACGCTCGCCCACAGATATGGCTTTATGTGGCACCTGTGCCATAGGTTCGCCATCACGGGCTTAGGTGAACGTCCAAACAGAGCTCCTGTTTTAAAATGCACAAATTCAGATATATGCCCCTGCTATCTGATAAATTGGATTTTTTCTCTGGGATATTTATACCAAAAAGAAAATAGTACATCTGAATATGTTGGTCTTCTCTTTTTCTTTGTTCCTGACCCTTCCCTGGCACAGCTAGTGATTCTGAAATAAGGTGCCATTCTGTAAAGAAGAACAGGGGAGGGGGGATTGGGGCTACATGCATACCCATTATTTCTCAACGCTGCTATCTTTTTGAAAGAGAGCCCAGATCTCAAATGAGAGAAAGCCGCTTTGAGTTCTTGAGACTATGAAACCATTTTTTTTCTCTGCCTGAAGAATAAAATAAAGCTACCAATGGAGAATTTTACAACACAGTTAATTTCTGGAGGAAGTAAAAATGTATTGTTTGACTGTAAATTAAAAGCTTGTCAAAAAAGAAATATCTCTGCATTTTCATAAGCATAGAGATTTTCAGCTTAAATGTTTAAATGTTAGTCAAGTTTGTTGAGAGAGAGAGAGAGGGAGAGGGAGGGAAAGAAAGAGAGAGAGAGAGAGAGGGAAGCAAAATAAAGAAAATTAGAAAAAAGGAAAAAAGGAAAGGAAAACAAAGAGGACAATGACAAAATTTCATATAGAGCAGGGGTGTCAAACTCAAGGGTGCTTAGATCTAGCCCGTGGGGCCACCCTGGAAACAGCGAAGGACTGGCCCTCAGTGCGTCTGCCAGTGAAAACAGACTGTGGCCCTCCCAGGCTCCGTTTTTTGGCCAGGACAGCCTCCTGCAGCAAAAATGGGTTGCAGGAGGCTGTCCCAGCCGAAAACGGAGCTTGGGAGCCCATTTTCTTTGGCAGAGGGTTTGGGCCATAGGCACGGCACGAGTGATGTCAAACTGGCCACGCCCATCCTGGCCACGCACAGCCCAGACCCTGAGGTCAAACACAACCCTGATGTGGCCCTCAATGAAATCGAGTTTGACACCCTGATATAGAGTACATTGGGACTCCTTCTCATAGATGTATATGTATATAAAGTTTCAATAAAGACAACCATATTTGTGATCTTCCATTCATAATTTGTCTCTAAGCAGCTCCTTCTTAATTTGCCAGAAAAGATTCTGTCTTCAATCCATTGAGAAATGGGAGCCATACTTACATTTATCTTTCTAGTGTTGAAGGATTACTCTATTAACCACAAGAAGGAGTCATCTTGATGACCAGAATGTCTTTCTGGAATTTTGAAATCTATGTATGGGCTTGATTAAGATGTGCTGAATCAAATCTTATTTAAATATTAATTACAAACATGCAGCTTAGCCAAACAAACCTAATTCCTTTCACCATAGTAATATTATTTATTTTATTTATTTATTTATATTTAAATTTGTATACCGCCCTTCTCCCGAAGGACTCAGGGCGGTGCACAGCCAGATTAAAATACATACAATACAAAATTTAAAATAATTTAAAATAATTTAAAACAGAATTAAATCCAATTGGCTTCCCGAAGTATTAGTATATTATATTAGTAGTGTGGTGCAGCAATGTTATTCAGGAAAAGATTATACAGAGCACACAGGGATACACACGTGATAACTATCAGCATATACTCAAATGTGTCTTAATACTTAATAGGCAGCAGCCACAGTTCCAGAAAGGAGTGTAATATGTGTACTCCGTATGCACTCCAAATCAGATCTTCACTTTCGATTCAGGATTTCTCTGTATAATAAGACGGTAGGTTTTGTCTAGCTAGCATATGTTGAAGGCACCAACTTGAACAAAGGCCAAATATCACGATTAGGGCAAACTGGTAGTGATAAAAACTACCAGTTCAGGCAAACTGGTAGTAAAAAAATGCTTTAAAAAGTAAAAAAAAAGGTCCAATGATCATAGCTGTGCCACCTGATCATTGGAACCTTTTTTTTTTTTAACTTTTTTAAAGCATTTTTTAACTTATCGGTTTGGGAGAATAGGTAGTAAAAAATGCTTTAAAAAGTAAAAAAAAAAGTTGGCCACACCCACTCAGTCACATGACACCCCCACCAAGCCACACCCACCAAGCCACGCCCACAGAACCAGTAGCAAAAAATTTTGCATTTCACCACTGGATCACTGTGGCAAAAACAAACACAAAAGTTCAGAGAGTCTCTCTTGTGATTGTAGAAATAGAACTGATAGAAGCAAATATATGAAAAAGTTCAAAGTATGATTTGTTACCTAAAATATAATTATACTCTTTATATATTTATTATTTATTGAATTTATTTGCCACCCATCTCAAATGACTCTGGGTCACTCTTTAAAAACAAATTATATGCATCCATTCAGCATTTATGTTTGCCTGTTTAATAACTTGCATTTCTAAATCTGTCTTTTAAAAAATGCTATGTATTAGAAAACTATTTGAGAAAAACTTTTTGTCCACAGATGACAACTCATTGTTCTAGTTTTGCAACAAATAATTACTAATGTTAACAAATGTTTATACCAATAGACAAATTAACTTCTTGCAAGGACAGAATCTACACAGACCAATTTGTCAGTGATGAACCACAGAACCTAGACATTATTGCACTTTTGTTAATTTATTTTTGTTTGTTTGGCAATTAATTGCCAAATTTCTACACAAGTTTCTGGGGAAATAATGACAAACAAGAACACTAAACTAGGAAGCACAGGCTCTCCCAAATGATGGTTCTACAATGTCATAAAACACCTTTTGAAAAAGATAAAAGTTTGCAAGTTAAAATGAAAACTATTTGTCCCAATTTCATATTTAAACAAGTCTTACCTTTTATGTTCTTCTGCACCCTTGTGTTTCCTTTTAAAAGTTTGGACCACTTAATTGCTCTTCGAGTGAGTACCACTAAGTATCTAGAAAAGAATTCCTCATAGGTTGTGTAGTCAAAGTCAGCTGGTCTTTCAAAACCATATGGATCCACACTATTTCAAAAGAAAGATTATTATAGAGACATAAAAAGCATGCAGTTAAGTGAGAATTATTCATTAACCCAAACTTAAAACAGAAGGAGAAAATAAAGTACAAATGTAGTGCCAAACAGATTTCATAAAGTTTCTCAATTCCAAGATATCTAGCTAATAGCAGATGTCTCTCAGGACAATGGAACCATTTCATAAAAACCATTAAAACAGCCAGAGACCACTGATACACTTCTTATGCCCCCTGTTTCTGGATCTATCCAAAAAAGGAGAAAAATGCTTAAAAACTTCCATTTATGTGTCATTTGAACTAGAAGCTATTAACAAAAACTACAGTTATTTTAAACAAGCTGGTTTCAGAAACAATGACGCAAACAGAGCTCATTTTAGTTGACATTAACTACTTTATCAGCCTGGATGATATCAAAAAGCTAATGTTTATTGTATTCTATTGCTTTTATAATGTATTAGAGAAGTTTTCAGCTGTATGCTGCCCATTTATATTTATAAATATAAAGTTGTTCATAATTGCTGTTGATTACACAGTCACAACTGGGCACATTTCTGGGAAACCGTATGGAAAAGGGTTGCTGTTGTCTTTTTATTATTTAAAAAAAAAACTATCCAGTCAATTCTACAATCCTGTTAGTCCCTGGTAATCTGACCAACTATAGTGAGTATAGAAAATGGCCTTGAAGATCTGCTACCAAGACAACAATAAAATAAATAAGGCTTGAGCCCAGACCAGCAAAGTGGTTTATGAAAAAACCTCAGACAACCTCCCTGCTTAATTCACAAGGCGATAAAAGACAGAGAAAGAAAGCACATTCAAATCTGTTCGATTTTGTAATCTAATAAAAGTAGCTTTAAAACTGTAAAAAAAATCAAGCTAAAAATATCTGAAATTTCTAAATTTCTCCCATGGGAAATTTAGATGAGAATATCAAAGTTTGAAAGATATCACATGAGAAAATTAATATTGTTTAACATTTTGAACAATTCAATTTTTAAGAATTTTTGAATGTTGAGGTTCTATGCATCTGGGAATCTTAAAGACAACTTGTCACCCATGAATGCTGCACTGCCAATCCAGTGTGCTTGTCAGATTTCCAGGAGATACAATTCAATGTATTGCTTTTTTCAAAGAACATGAGCATATTACAGGTGTCTTCATTTAATGACCATTCATTCAGTATTTGAACTTGAAATGGTGCTGAGTGAATGGTATTTATGACCAGACCTTATACTTACAGACCCATGGTCATGTGACTGCAATTTGGAGCCTTCCTGCTGACTTCCCACAAGCAAAGTCAATGGGGAAGCTGGCAGGAAGTCAGAAGACACAGTCCTGTGCAGTCCTCTCTTAACAACAGTAATCTGGAATTCTGGAACTGCAATCGCTAAGCAACACGGTCACATGGTTAGCATTGTTACAACAAAGACTACCTGTAGTATTAAAACTTATCCAAGTTACTAAATATTCCTTCACGCATTTCATGCAATTGAAATAAATTCTAAATGAAAGTTCATGTTGTAGTTTCCACATTGTGTAAACCGTAATTACAATTTTGAAAGTAGCCACATTGAAACAGAATAGGGGAAGAAACCAGCCATGCCATACAAGGTATTTAAATAAAACATTTTAAATTCAAATCTAGTCTTGTATTATACAGCATTATAAACTCACAATCTTTCAGCTTATCCATTGTACTGCAGTGGTAATAAAACTAATCTCCCTTCCAATGCTGCTGCAGGTAATCCTTGATTTACAACCACAATTCATAGCAAAATTTATGTTGGTAAGCAAGGCTTAGTGAGTTGTTTGTGGTATTATGACCTTTTCTGCCACAGTTATTAAGCAACTGCAGCTAAGTGAATTATGTAGTCATTAAGTGAATCTGGCTTCCCTCATTGATTTTACCTGTGAGATGTCAGGTGGGAAGATCGCACATGGCAATCCCATGATCCCAGGACAATGCAACCATTGCAAATATATGCTGGTTAAGTGTCAAAATTCTGATCACATGACTGTGGGGCTGCAGTGATGGTCATAAGTGCAAGGCCTGGGTGTAATTCACTTTTTTCAGTGCCATTGTAATTTTGAATGCTCACTAAACAAATAATTGTATAAGTAGTTGTTGCTTAGAGACCATCTGAAGTTACAATCGACTCTCCCAAAATATATTTATGACCTTGTTCCAAAATTCTAACAGTGGCACTTTCCCTTCCAGTCCCATGACTGCGGTTTGGTTACTTGGTAACCAGTTCACCTTTAAGGCCAGTTGCAACATTCTGTGGTTATGTGACATTATTTATGTTTTTTGCCAGAAACAGGCTTTTTCGGATTGTTTCTGACAAGAAATACCAAAAGAAATGTATTGACCTGACCACCGCAGTATTCACTTAACAACTGGCCCAAAAATGTCTGTAAAATCAGATTGGTCATGTAAGTTTCTAGACTTAGAACCACCATAATTTACAACAGAAATTCTGAGTTCCATTACGGTCATACAAGGACTTCACATAATTCAAGGACTACCCGAATAAAGGTAGATTTACTGAGATGTATTAATATTATTTTTTTAAAAAAGTCTGATGCATCATTTAAAGTAAAAAAATGTGTAATTCCTGAAATAATGTATCAGGTAAGCCTCCAAACTAGTTATTAGAATTCCACTGCTCCATAAGATAAACAATTTGTTTATACTATTACTTCTCTGGCCATGCAAAAAAGCACATCAATCAAAAGTATTTTCTCCCTCCCACTTTCCCTCCCTCTCTTTCTCTCTCTCCCTCCACTCCCTCTCTCCCTTCCTCCCCCCCACTCTCTCAGCCCCTATTCTTAACCAAATAGTTGTTAAGGCCATCAGACTACAAATGAACAGTGTGAGTTCCAATCCCACGTTAGGCACAAAGCCAATTGAGTGATCTTGGGCCACTCGGCTCTAGGAAGCAGGTGATGGCAAACCTGGAAACTTTGCCAAGAAATGCAGGGACTTGTCCAGGTGAATTCTGAGAATTGGATAGGATGGAATGAAAAGGGGGAAAAACATGCAGAAGATTTATTGAAGAAGAATACAAAGGAAGCTTAAGAAGCTCCAATTAGAACAATGTCTTCTCAAATTGATTTACACTACCTGTTTGTATGGTATATTCCTTCTATATCATCATTCTACAAATAATGATTTTCAATTTATGCATGCAAGACAGAATTACTAAAACATTATCGTGAAAACTTCAACTATTCATGTTTTGCCTTTCAAGTTTGCTTGCAAGGAATGACAAAAACATGCCAATGTCTATTAGCAATCTGAAGGGCTTCCCCCAAAATGGGAGAACAAAAAATTAACTCCCTTTGTCTGAAATCAGGCCTTTTTCCCCATTTTGATGTGCAACAGAGGAATTAATAAGTGTTGGACAGTGGACACTATTTTGTTCTGAAGAAAATATTAATCATTCCTATTAATCATCCATCCCTCTGTCAGTCTCATTCCGAAAACAAGTCTTTCCGCCTGCAGAAAACCTAAGTAATTTACAACATTTAACCTCATCACATTCTCCAGTAATTATTGTCTTCTGCATACTGTTTAATATATTCTTCTAGAGCTTTCCTTCAATTAAACCTTAAAACAATAAAATGAAATTGTTCAACATTCATTCAGGACAACTGTGAACAAGTAGATTTGAGAAGAGCATCTACCTAAATACCTCATTCACTTCATCCTGCTTTTTAAAAGCTCTTCATGCTAACTCCCAACAAAAGGAAGAGCATTTCCCGGAGCCTACATAAAGTAAAGTATTTCCAAAACAAGGACCGTTTACTTATTTCCCTGTTTTATAAATTGAACTGTCCTACGGAAGGTAAAATAAGTTGTCATTATTTCTTCTCAAATAAACTAGAAAATGCTAGTATTAGATTATCCAAGGGTTAAAAAAAAAGTTTTATCCTGAGGAAATCTGCATTCAGACAACAACAAAAACTGGATTAAAATACGGTTGCCTATTTGCGGTTGAGTATGTGGCGGAAATACAGCCACTAGCAATAAAAAGAATCCTTAAAAAAGAGAACTCAGTCAGGCCAACAAACACCCTCGGTTGACCGAATATCAAAGCCAACTACACCTGGTTCTCCCAGAAAAACTTGTTGCCATTAAAAGCGAGGCGCGCAGTCCTTGAATGACAGCTCAGCTGCTCAACAAAGGAAAATACTTCAGTGAAGTTCAGCCCTTCCTTGAAAGAAAAGGAGCTCGAGAATTCATCCCAAACATAGGGACTGCGGCCCCCCCCCCCCCCCCCCCCCCCTCCCCCCCCCCCCTTTTTTTTTGCCCGCGATCCTACCCAAGCCCTTCTTCCTTCATTTCCTGTTACACCTGACGGGCCACACCGCGCACGCCAAGCAAAATCCCACTTGACCCGCACGCCTCTTCCTCGGAACCCAACCCCGGCCGCAGAGGAGAGGAGAGGCGAGGCGAGAGGCGCGCTCGGGGAGGTCGCGGCGTACCTATGGACGCTGCTTTCCCGGCTCCTTTGCTTCGCTCGCCGTACTTCCTCCCCCTCCATGGGAAGGGCTCTCTCGGGATTCCTCCAGCACTGAATGGTCGGAGGGCTCCCCCCGCCTCTCTGCTGTGGCTGCAGGAGCCCAAAGCCCACCGCGGCGTCAGCGAGGCGGCTGCTTTCGACGGCGTCGCTGGGCTCCTTCCCGGCTCCCAAGAAGAGAGCGCCCGGCGGCTAGCAGCGAAGTCTTTTTCAGGAGGCAAGAAGGAGCCGGAGCGCCGCAGCGATACTTCCACGTTGGAGGGACCAGAGAGCAGAAGACCACCCGGCTTCCAAGTTCAGCAGCAAGCTTGGTCCCTTCAGGTCCCTTCGATCAAAAGGCGCGGAGCAGCGCCTTTCCCATAGCCCGCGATAGCCCTTCCTGTTCCCTACCTGCTTTTTAAACCCTACCTCCGCGAAGGGAGCGCCAAATGGCGCCGCCTTAAGGACAAAGCCGGCGTAGCCGCTAGAGGTAAGAAAACGAACCGCTGAGGGAAGGAGCCCCCCTCACGCCCGGCCGGGGGGGGGGGGCGGGCTCGCGGGCTCCCTCCCTGCCTCCCACCTGCCTCGGCAACTCCGAGGGTGCGCGCGCACCCTCGCATGGTGGAGCGGAGCACGCCGAAAGTACGAGAGGGACGCTCACTGTCCCTTCCTCTGGGGCAGCCCCCTGAACCCGTTTTCGGGTCAAGTACGGTAATGAAGAACGTGCGCTTCGGCGGGGATGTTTGTGGTCCCCTCGGCTTTGATTTACACAGGATTAACTCAATTGCTTGAGGTTTGTGTCAAGACACCAAACCACAGGCTAACCACACTGGATGGATTCGCATTACAAACCAAACCACACGTTTTAAGCTTTTTACATGGTATCCTACAGTGGTGGGATTCAGCCAGTTCGCACCACATCAGGAGAACCGGTTGTTAACTTTCCGAGCAGTTTGGCAAACTGGTTGTTGGAAGAAATCATTAGGGCAGAGAACCGGTTGTTGAATTACTTGAATCCCACCACTGGTATCCTAGCACAACTCATGTGCCTTCAGATCAGTGCTGCAGAATCTCCATGTGCCTGGACTCTTCTCCATAGCAGTTTTTAGGTATCCTATGAATGTGCGTTGAGGCAGAAAAAAGGGCTGCTCGGATGCACTGTCCCAAATCCCAGGGAGCAGATGGAGTGAGTGAGGGGGAATCAGTTAAAGAAGGATCAATTTTAAGTAGCTTATGAATTCACTTTTCCGAAATAGGTGACCTCCGGATAATGGCATCTTACTGAAGCCACAAGTAATATTCTTAAACTGATGGGATATGTTAAGCCCTCAAACACTGTCGGCTTTTCCGAAAGTGCTTAAGACCTGACTTTTCCAAGGCAGAGAGGGTGGGGGAAGAAGGTTAGTTAAAACGTAGATGAATTGACTGCTGGCCTTCTTGGTTGCCATGCTATGCTCATTCTCTTCTTGATTATTGTTTTTCTCTTGCTTGGTGTTTTAAAATTTTCTTAGCTTCCCAGAGTCAAATATGTGAGATAGGCAGCCGTATAAATTGATTTAAACAAATAACAGGGTTTATTTAGAATAACAGGATTTTTTTTTTGTTTGTTACTGAAATACAAAATGGATTTTTTAGAAAAAGTAAAGGTAAAGATTTCCCTTGTACGTATGTGCTAGTTGTTCCCAACTCTAGGGGGCGGTGCTCATCTCCGTTTCAAAGCCGAAGAGCCACTGCTGTCCTAAGACATCTCCATGGTCATGTGGCTGGCATGACTAAACCCCAAAGGCGCACGGAATGCTGTTACCTTCCCACCAAAGGTCCCTATTTTTCTACTTGCATTTTTTACGCGCTTTCAAACTGCTATGTTGGCAGAAGCTAAGACAAGTAACAGGAGCTCACCCTGTTACAATGGCACTAGGGATTCGAACCGCTGAACTGCCGAACTTTCGATTGACAAGCTTAGCGTCTTAGCCACTGAGCCATCGCATACCTTTTTTAGAAAAAGTACATGGGTATCATTTCCTTTGTCAAAGAATGTCAGTTACAAAAACTTGGCTGTTACAGATTTCTAATTTCTTTTCTTTCTTTTTTTTGTAAGAATCTCAGCTTGATGTAATTGTGAATGTAAATAAAAACTATCTTTCAAATCATGTGCTTTTAAAACTCCTTGCTTCTCAGAAGAAAATTTGATCTGGAACAAACCTTAATAAAGTTGGTAGAAGTTACTTTCAATAAATATGCACAGTATAGCATATTGGATAACTTTGAAAGAAAGTTTGAACACAGTCCTATGGGTTCAGAAATAAATTTATTTGTGAGTAAAATGCAGGCTTAAAAACTTCACAAAGATAGATACAAAAGAATAGACCAAAACCAGGAGGAGTCAAAAGCACAAATAAGAACATAGATTACAGTTGTGACAACTTTGATAAGATGTATATTGAATTTTTGTTTACCTGTTCTGTATGTTTTGTTGTTACTTATTCTGTTTTGTTTGTATTTTAAATAAATAAATTTTTTTTAAAAAACTTCACTGTGTAAGTAAGGTATTATTATATAGGTTTTCATCATTTAGCAACTGTCTCATTTAGTGATTCTTTGTAGTAATAATGGTGGTTAAAAAAAAAAGCAACTTTACAACCAGTCCTCACATTTACAACCTTTGCAGGTCTGTAAAGCAAAGGAAAGTTCTGAAATAAGATCATAAACACGATTGTGGTTTCACTTATTGTTTGCTTTGTTTAACAATCAAGTTTCTCCAGCATTCTGTTTGCCTAGACAAAATGAACATCTTGAGAAGGCAGGTAAAATATGTAAGTGGGCTGGAACAACTGCGATGGAAAAGGATTTGCCTCTTAGAAATTACTCTCCAACAAATAAATATAATACACACCATAACATTGAAAACAATTTAAAAATATATGATTTTAGAAATAGGATGATTTTCCTTTCTTTAACCTTATATGTGTTACTTATGCTGTTTTCTTATGCCTATAAAATAGTTGAGTACATTAAAAGCTGAGAAACACTTTGGTGTAGTTGTTAAAAGTATCAAGGAAGAAATCAAGGACTGTGAGTTTCAGTTCTGCCTTAAACACAAACCCAGCTTGATGACTTTGTCCCTGTCTCCCTAAGCCAGGGATTTTCAAACTTGGCAACTTTAATTCTGGGATTTCAATTCCCAGAATTCCCCAACTAGCCAGCACTGCTCTAAGCACTAAGAAGAAAACAGTAGCAAACCACTTCTGTTGCCAAAAACTTGAGGAACATGTCCAGACAGTCAGTAGCAGTGAAAAATTTGAAGACGCCTACGCATGCAACATAAAAGCATGAAAATATGAGGTAGGAGAGAAATACAGAGTTCGCAATGATAGTAAGAGATTCTTGTCAAATAACAATACACAATAAACTCCTGTGGATATAAGCCTTATACAAGTAATTTCTCGCTTACCAACTGCCTTGTTTAGTGACTGTTCAAAATTACAATAGTTGCAAGCCATCCTCACATTTATGGCCATTGCAGCATCCTGCTATCCTATAATCACTGTTCAGGTGATTCATAACCAATGCACATTTATGATCATTGCAGCATCTCGCAGTCGCATGGTTACCATTTGTGATCTTCACAACTGCTTTCCAACAAGCAGAGCTAATGGAGAATGTGGAAGAGAAATTGCATTGTGTTGCAGAGGAAGAAAGATGCTTTTGAGCAGGGGTGTTGCAACATGGCCCCCCAAGGTCAAACAACCCTGATGTGGCCCTCAATGAAATCCCTGCTTTTGAGAGTCCAGTGCTTGTATTTACATGTTTTAATCTATAAGTAGCACAGTTAATCACCAGCTATCTTTTAAATTAGTTAATTACCAGAATGTCTCTTCAGTGTTTAGTCATATCCTTTCTGTGATATTGTATATATGTACAGTAAGAATCTAGTTGCATTTAATTCCTGATGAGAAATTTTAGCTTTTACTCCTGCAATGCGACAAGTAACCCATGTATTATGGCACTAAGTCTCATCATTAAAAACGAAACCGGGCATAAAAATTCAAAGTAAACAAAACAAAGTCTACTTTGTGGCCTCCCTCAGCAGAATGGAGGTGGACAAAACTCTACTCATTTCGATTTTACTGGATCCTGAAAGTGATAGTATTATAGCTTTTATACCATATTATTCCCTAGCTTCCATATTGTTTTATGTGTATATGTTAGATGTAAAAGAGTTGTCTTGATTGCAGTAGGACAAAGTCTAACGAATATATATAAAATATATATTATGATGTTACATTATGCACTCATTGTATGATTTCAATAATTATCTGTCCATTTATTGATACTGTCTTTAAAAAAAAATACAAATAGTTCTCACTTAATAATAACAATTGGGACCTGAATTTCCATCACTAAGTGATGCAGTCATAAAGGGTAACATCACATGAATGTACCATTTGGCAACAGAAGTTCCAGCACTTCTGGTTGTTGACATTAAATGAATCACCATGGGTTCACTAAGCAAAGACATCATATGATCAACATTTGTAACTGCTTGCAGACTTCCCCATTGACTGCTTGTAGGAACTTGGGAAAGAAGATTGCAAATGGTGATTGTGTGATCACACGGGATAGCTGTAAGTGCAATGGTTGTTAAGCAAGAAACATCTTTATTTACCTGCTTTAAATACAAATTAGAAATTAGAAAACAAAGAAAAGAAAGTGCAATCAATAAAAAGTCCTCCAAAATCTTTCCCAGCTTAATACTGCAAAATGCTTGTTTACAATTTTTTAAATATACACTTAGCTTGGGAATTTTTAATTTATCAACTTTTTTTTTCATAACCTTTTCAGATGAGGTACCATATAGAAAATACAGAAGACAACAAATAAGAACATTCAAATGGCGTTTGACTAGGCTATACATACAAAGTGCAAATTGAGTGGAACTAGTGAGCATATATAGTGATTGCAGCTCAATAAATTATTTTTGTATTGCACTTTGGAGGCCATGAAGTTAGACCCTGCATTAGAACTGCATTGCTCTGTTGTTATTCATGATCTTTAGGCTCTTGCAACAGCAACTAACACACTGGTTAATCCAGTTGAGCAGCAGCAAACACTTGAGCTGCTTGAGGGAAGATTGCATCCTGGTTATCAGGATGTACAAAGGAGGTACAAGGTACACACAGGAACATCTAATTTGTAGGGAGTCAGCTTATAGAGATGCTTGAGCTGTTTATATTCCTTTACTTAATCTCTTGCTGTTTTGTATTCCTGCATACTTGCTGTGTGTGATGCACTTTTGTGATATTTATCACTTCCATGTATGTGCCTTGAAGCATTCCATTCAGGATTGTACTGTGAACTTTTGTTCTTCTTGTTTTCTTTGTTTTCTTTTAAGTTTAGAGTTGAACATTAAAAGTAACTCTGCTGAATCAGGCTAAAACATAACTCAGTCCCGTATTCCAGTTCTCACAGGGGCTAGTCAGGT